GGAGTCCAGAACCTAAGTACATACTTCTTCCACCTCAACCAGCCTAGATGCTAAGGCCACTTTCTGGCCTTTATGTCTTTTTGTGTATTTTAAATGTTGGCCTTTTTTATTAGTTCCTTTATGCTGCTATGTTTAGTCTCTTTAAAGTAGATTCACTGTAGAAATTATGTACTTATTATTTTAATCATTATAACCCAGTTTGAGATTAATGGATAAAGGGTGGATTAAAAAAAAAAAAAGCTTTAAAAATGCATAGAAAGGGTTTTCTTCTTAATTTCTAAATTACTAATCCAGATTTTATTTCCACTGCTCTTATTGACCTTAAGTTTATAACTGAAGTTTTATTGTGGTACTAGGACCATTGTTCAGGATGCAGTGATGAAATCAAGCCTTAGATGGACAGAACTGGAGAAAAGTATGGTCCTGATCATGATCTATTGTATGATATATTTCTGGAGGCACTAGTTACCTCTGTATTTCTCTCAGTGGAACATAAATTGTTAATCTATAGTTTAGAAAATTCACTAGTACAGCTGCAAAACTTTATCCAGTCCAACATCAGCAGACTTTTGGCAACCTTTTAAACATGCTTTTTAAATTATGCCAAATCTACTCCTGGTGCCTACACTAGAATCGTTAATATAAAATTATTGGGAAGACTAAAGAAATTGAGTATTTAGCAATGCTGAGAACTATTTCAGAAACCTCTTAACATGAGGGTGCAAATGATGTTTATAGGAGCAAGTAGTACAACCATTTATTTCTTACAAACACATTTACCCATCTCAGAATACTTCACACTTAAACTACCTGATACATCACAAATGAAGTACACAGAAAAGGAAACCCTTCTTCAGTCTGAGCCAAGCTCCTGATGATTTTATGTATACATCCATGAAGGTTTCTTGACAACATTGTAGATATTAGTTTACTTCCTAGTCTTCCTACTTCCTGATGGTCTCCCATCTAAGACCCTGCTTAGCTTCCAAGTCCAAAGTTGGCTAAGTGCTGCCACCAGCTGAGATGTAGTACAAAACTCCATAAACAGTTGTTGCTTAATACAGGTACAGAGGGGTAACAATCTAGATCAGCCAGTAGCACCTGCAGGGGATCTCAAAAAATGCAAGATGGTGGAAGTGACAATGAAAAAGAAACCTCACCCCTTTTGTACATGTGTGCAATACAAAAGGGGGGGGGGGCTTCCATTGTGACATGCTTCTAACATCTTGCCTTTTTTGCCACTCCATCCCATTAACACCACTGTCCACAGTGGTGAAGAATCACTAGTTGTGATTCTGAGTGATATGGTATTCTATTTGCATAGTAAATTAGAGTTATGAAATAAACCTTCCACTGATGTTTTGGGAGCTTTTTGCCCAGTGCTAATTGCATAGGTGAGAGGAACGTCTGTCAGGATTATGGAAAGGAGAGAAGGATGAAACTGCCTTGGTGCTGAAACAGTACTAATGATGGACTAGCTTTCTTAATGCTAACAGACACAAAATGAAACTCCCTCTCCCACAGTCAGGCTGTTTACTGTTTACCAGAGCTGCAGAAGGCTCAAGAAAGGGCAGTTTTGCACAAAACTTTCTTGCTGGAAGTGTACATAATTTCCACAAAAATAAAGGAGTCCTAGCTCAGGTTATAAAATAAATTCCTCACAAAATTTTACCTTTTTAGGTACTTTTAGCTTGTTCTCTAACTTTGAATCTTAGCTCTGATCTTTGAGTGGAGCTTTGGTCCTGGTTTCTGTGGCTTCAGCCTAGGAATTTCCGACGGGTCTCTTAGGCAGAATAAAAGCTGCCAAGCTGCCAGTGAAAACCACAGCCCTCTCTTTTCAACTTCTCCACACATAAACATCTAGTAATACCTGACATTATGTCATCATCCTCAGTGGATGCTACTTGCAAAAATTGGACCCTCACAGTACAGTGACATCACAGCTTCCATATTATTATTGAGAAGAAGAGCAGAAGGATGTGTAAAGTTGCTTTTAATAGCAGCCAACTTATACTTTATTGCACTTAGTTCCAGACTTGTCATAGAGAATGTTTAAACAATAATAGTCCTGACTAGGAGCACCAATACATGGTAAAAAGATCCTAGGTTACAGAACATATATTAAACGGTGGTTTCTTCAAAGGATTTAGGCCTGCATCACAGGACAGAATCTGCTGATCTCCAAAGCTCTCAGTTCTAATGCTCCTTACTCCAGATGTCCTCCCCAAGCCCATAAGGCAGAATAAACGCCAAAAAAAAAAAAAGCATCCTCCTCTTGTACTAGTGCAGGTATGGCTTGATGGGATGGAAGACTTGAGTGAGGAGGTCCAAGGTCATTGGGAGTTGGAGAGGAATCTCAAGCATCTCCTCAGCCCACAGCCTGAGCGTGTGAAAACTAAGAGGATGAGACTGGCACCACCCTACGGAATGCAGAGTGTTTAGCTGCGGTCGTTGGGGGTTAGAGTTAGTCTGGCGAGATTCTGTTTAGTAGGTGTAAGCTATTAAAAAAACTGAACTGTTCCTGAATTGTCCCACTGAGTTTCTTGGGCTGAACCTGACACTTAGAGAAGGTATGGAGAAATTGTTGCTGAGTTACAACTTTCAGCAATCCTCATCATTGGCCTTGCTGGCCAAGGTTGCTTGAAGTTGTAGTTCTGGAGGGCCATGGTTTCCCACGCTTGTTCTGGACAGCAAGAGTGACTGAATGACTAATAAGGATTTTGGCAGGGAGTGGATTTGTCAAGGGATGGGAGAATCACTGAAGACATCTTGCTCAAGAATCTTCTTTCTCAAAACCAAGGACTGCTATCTTGTTAAATTACTTCTATGTGCCTTCTGCGGTGTAATGGGAGAACTGGTTGCTCAGTCCACTGGGAGGTTTCATGATGCCAATATATAGAAGATTCTTTTTTTCTCTCTCTTCCTCCACAGATCTTTACCTTCCTTTTCTATATGTATGCTTTAGGTCATGAAATGGCAGCTTCCCAACTTTAACACTCAGCAATCAGGAATTTAGCCCATTTACTGTACAAATAAATGGGTTTTATCTTTTGGCACTAGACTTTTTAACCTGAGTCAGGATATTATTTTAATGAAATCCAAGCCTATAAGGTCTCCGTCTGATTAGGATGGCAAGCATGACCAATTAAGTTAGCCCTGGCAATAAAACAAATGAGAAATGCAAGCACAGAGGCTCTCTGAGTGACAGGAAAGGGAGAGGCAAGCCCTGCAATCTTTAGATCGCAAGCATAGTTTATTTTGGGCAATATCCATTATGATCTGATCTCACTTATCACAGTGGGAACAGGAAGAGATCGTTTTATGGCTCTTTGTTACAGAGATGAAATGTAACAGAAGTCAAGCTCCTAAACAATCAGTGTTTCCTGTATGCTTTTGCAGATATGTGGCATGGGCCCAACTAAATATGATGGTCAGCTTATTAAAATATGTCATGCCATAAAAGTGATATTAAATTTGTCTGAAAATAATACACAGTGTAACTATAGAGGCAATGCTATGGTACAGTACTGGTCCTTCTTTTAATTACTCTAACTGCAATCTCATTCTTGGCGCTTCTAGTTTCCATAACATAGACTGATGAGTTGTGTTAACTCTGTTCATGCATATCGGGTGGTTGCATCTCACCAATCATGCCATGAGAGCATAATCTCAGTGTTCCTGTGGCAATGGGTGACTGGCACACTGGAAGCATCCATTGGTTGGGCTGGAAACTTTGATAACTTCTCTGTTTCATTTTCAGATTGCTAACATCACTGGTTCCTTTCAACACATGACAAAGCTATCTACAGCAGCCAAATCTACAAAAACTGCCCTAGGAGATGAACTAATATTTTTATTAATCCACAGAGAGATTTAACATAAACACTGCTCTTTTAGCAAATCAGTTATTAAAGAAGAACTTCTCTTTCAAAGGAGCAAGCAGCTCCATTTTCAGCACAGTTCATAAACCAGTTCATACTGCAGTTTGAGATAATATCGCAGAATATATACAGCAGTCACAGAAGTCCACATGTTCAAAATTTAACCAATACATTGTAATAGTCAGTAACAAATATTGATTACAAACTTACTTAACATTGCCCAAACACTTATAGCAATTATTTTTTCAGTTAAGATAATAATTTTGTATTTTCATCAAATCTTTAAAGCCACTTAAATTCAAACTTTAATTTTCCTTTTTCGTTGACAAGTATCTGCTTAGATCAAATATCTTTAATGAAGATACGTGAATTAAAGTAAAATAGATAGCAATAACATTTTTTATGAGGTGTTAAAATTTATATTGCAATCCTCTAAAAGTGTATTCCTCTACGAACAGGCCGCCTGTTTGTCTACCTTATTCACAGTATCCTTTTGTTAAAAATAGGGGAAAAAGCCATCAAATCTGGGGGTGGTTCTAAGCTCATGTTAACACTGAAAGATGGCAGAAGATGCTGGTTGCCCATCGCTGGCTGCCTCTATTTCCCCATGGGAGGAATGCTGTTATGGTATCTTCTTCTGGGAGTGTGCAAAGCCAGAAAGGCAGCACACTTTAATAATTACTGTGCAATAAAAGACAGAAAGATACTCACACACCCTTCTTAGTCATGTCAGAACTAAGGTACAGTAAGTGCAAAATGCCTACATCCCAACCATGTGAATTTCATCCAATTTTCTTTTCCGTGAGGAGAAAAAAACCAAAAGCTGTTTCTTTTCCATCAAATTGAATAGTTGAAAAAGTCCAGTGTTATTTAACATAACCCCTCAAATAAAAAGAAAAATGGTGAATTACACTGCAGCTGTTTAGTTACCCACTCACTTTCACTAAAACTACACATCAGTATTCTACAGAGAGCTAAGATTTGTTTGTGACTCCTGAGTCTGCAAGAGAGTCAGTAGTGTTAGATCACAACTACATTTCATTATTGTAGGCAAACATAGACAACAGTTCTACTCTTTTTTACTAATTTAACGTTAAGGCATTGAAATCAAAATCTTACCTTCTGATAATCTGGAGGATGTATGAACAGAATTGGGATCTACGTCTTCATCAGGCGGGTAATGATAAAGTGTTTGAGACTGTTTGGAGGCTATCCAGTTATGGTCTTCTTTCAGTGCAATGAGTGATGATGGTGTTGGATTAAATTTGACTTCAGGGAAATTATCTCCTTTGGACTCCTTGAAATCCAATGATTTGGGTACTTTTAGTTTCTGGTCTTTTCTCATGTTTAGTTTGATTCTAAAGTGGGAATTTTCTCCTTGCTCAATTCTCCCATGGCTGACTGCGTTTAGCTTCTCCACTTGTGCCGTATTCCGGGGTGTCTCAGTTGTTGCCACGACTTCTTCCTTTAAAATAGTATTTGCAGTGGTGATCTTATTATATCCTTGCGGTACTCTGGTTGTTGATACTGTGCTTGTGTTAATCCTGACCTTGCTAATTTCACTGTTGCTCCTGTTTTCTGGATGATTCATGATAGGAATATTTGTGTTCGTTTGTTGCTGCATTACTGGGTATGAAATAGGCTGAGTCAGTGAAGGGGGAGTGATACTGCTTGCAAGGTAGTCATAATCCTCACTTTGTTCTTGGCCTATGCTCTCTTGTTCCAAATGTGTTGAATAACTGTAGTATTTTTTAGGTGGCTCCACCTGAGTGGTGTCTCCTTCTGGTGCCTCTTGGTCATAACTGTATGGATCATCATAGTGCTGCTCTAGTTCCATGGTATCAGATGGATTAGGGGAGGTTAATGTGGATTCATTACAATCCGGGAGCTGATAGCACATGAGGTCACCTCCAGAATTAGGGCAATGACATACTTTGCATGTAGGCATGCGGAATGTATGTCCTGCAGCATATTTCTGGTCTTCATGGACACAGCCTATTCTTCCACACTGCGGGCACCCATCTGCTGGTAGAACAGCATCAATGCAGTTTTGTGGAAGGTCTGGACATAACATAAACTGGCAGCTGATTTTGCCCCCACCTTTGGGACAAGAACATTCTGTACTTCCAAAGTCGACCAAATAAGACTGTCCTTCAGGTACTTTTCCATTGATAAAGCCTACATTCACACAATCATAGTACTGGTATCCTTCGCAAGTACAGCCATGTTGCAGACAAGAGGCACAGCATTCTTCAGGCTCAAGAACTTCTTCAATGCAATTTTCTGGCTGCTTACACTCCACACCTGTGCAATCCTTCTGTGTTGTTGCAATGCCAGTCCAAATAAGCACCAAGAGGACAGCGTTCATACAATATGAATGGAACACTTGGTGCCTATCCATAATCTTCCTAAATAAGTTTGGCAAGCATCCAGCTTTTCTCATCTTTTATGGGCTTCTTTTCCTGTTTTTACCACCCCCTTGAAATTCTTGTTCATTCAGCTCTTGGTCAGAAATATTTCCCTGGATTCTGTTTTGGAACTAGAGCCTGGGTTTATGAAAGAGAACTTTGTTAAAGACTATACTTCACCCATATCCTGTTAAACATTAGAGATATTTTTAAAAAGGGATAAAGCTCCAACATCTGGAGACCGACATATAAAATTAATCATATCCTCATCCAAGTAGTGTAGACACCAAACTCCAGGCTGCATTTTTTAATTTCTTTCTTTGTTTACACTACCTTTTTAAAAAGGGGTTTAAGAAGGGTATTTTTATCTATTTATAAAATAAACACACAGTAAAATAAATAGCAATAATTTTTATTGTAGTACCCCTGTTTATGGATTTAATATTTTTGGGTATCTTTTTCTTTAGCTTCCAGCTTTTAAAATAACTCTTGGCAAAGAAAGATACAAATCTTTCTTCTACAGATACAGGTTGACTATATTTCAGCACTATATCTCCTTCAGTCTTCTGATGAAAGTATGAATGGCAAGGCAGCATCAAAATGTTAATTCAAATTAATTCTGAACTGGGCCCAACTGAGTCTGAATTTAACTTGAAAAGTCTTATTCTACCACAGTTAATTTTTCTCACCTCCAATTTAACTTACTTGCAGTAAATGTCCATTGCAGGGCCTCTGTGAAGCACTAACTGCTATAATGAGCAAGCCCAGGAGGATGTGTGGTCGCCAGGAACCATGAGAAAGACCTGCAATGAAAGTAGGGATATTGGGAATCAGGAAGCTATTTTCCCATGATAACCTATTATCTTGCCCCTAACATGAGTCTTTATCACTAAGGTAGTATCGGGAGCACAGTGCACAGTAGATCCCAAAGTCCATCTGGTTTGGTCTAAAAATGATTTGTCTTCCACCTTGAATACAAACCAGTTCTTTGAGTCCTTTCTCAGACTTGTAGGTCAAGTGGAATATCACTATTTTTATAAAGATCTGTGTAATGTTATTTTCTTACACAGAACATGTGTTATTATTTCCTGTGGTACTTGAAGAATAAAGTAAATGACCATGCAGCAACCATTTCAGTGGGAGGTCAAAATGTCATGAAGAGACAGGGAGACAAATGATTTCTGTCTGCCCATTTCTACTATGATGTTGAAAGTGAAACTCCTGACCCTCACAGCTTCTGGATGTCACTGTAGGAAAAACTGGCTCCACTTCAGCTGGGATAACATATTAGCTAGAGAGAACAGTGTGGCTGTGTCTGAACTGCACATTTGCTTTCCTTTATCATTCACAAAACATAAACTTACTATTGAAGTACTTTGCAACAGTCTTTTTTTCACTTTTACTTTTCAGACATTGGACGCCCACATAGGAATATTCATGTAGCTTCAGCACTTACGCACACAAACTCTACATACCAGCAAGCAAATTTTGGTTGCCTTAAAGACTTCTGTTCTTTCTTCTTAAATGTATCCCAAATATGGGATTCCAAAAGCTATGATTAAATTCTGAATTGAAAATAAAACTGATAATAAAATTCAGAAGGTGATGGCAAGAGACTTACATATCCACTTTTGTACATGAAGGTACTGATATACTCCCAATGATTTACAATACAGGTGGTCCTTTCTTAATAATGCTAATTGGGACTGGAAACTCTTATCATTAAGTGGTCATAAGTCAAAAAACCATGTGATCACACTGCTTAGTGATGGCAGTTCCAGCAGTCCTGGTTGCCGTCATTAAGCGAGGACCATGCAGGTCATTAAGTGAGGACCTCACATGACGACTTACAACTTCCTGACATGAAGGTTGCAAATTGTGATGATGTGATTGTGGGATGCTATAATGTCATAATTGTGAGCTGGTGCCAAACACCCAGATCATGATCACATGACTGCTGCACGGATACTATGATGCCTGTAAGTATGAGGACTGGTCATAACTACCACTCATTCAGCACTGTTCTAAGTTTGAATGGTCACTGAATGAGTGGTCATTTAACAAGGACCACCTGTACTATTAAAACTCCAAACATACAATAAAAACAGAGAATTAAAAATAAACAGTGTAACAATATACAGCTATGGGCATCAACCCCAGCTCACAGAACACCCATGAAGCCTCAAAAGTAGAGAAGTGTATTATTTGAATTCAAAGCAAGCCGAGGTATTTCAGATCTAGCATGGGCACCCTCACTGTGCCTCCACAGGTTCTCAAAGGAGCCATTCCTTTTCCTGGGCTTGTGTCACAGCCACGTAAGCTCAGGAAAATACATGCTTCAGGTTAGGAGGCATTTTAATAGGGGGGTCAGGCTGAGTTCTGGAAGCATTTGTAGATGTTGCCCCAAGATGTCACTAATGCATGAATAAATGAAGAACAGTATGCAGGGAGGAGACGGGCCAGTAAAAACCAGTGTTAGCTAATACAACTATCTCAGTTAGCTTGGAATTCACAACAGCTCCAAACCGTTCAACTGCTGCAATTCCATTAGGGCCAAGCATTCATCCCAGAGAACCCTGAAGTTTCCATTTTAGAGCAGTTCATGTAGAATCATTACAGCACATCATTTTAGTTGATTTCTAGTTGTTCTTTCATGTTGTAAAGGGCATTTCAGTTACATTTCCAGGGTATCAGGGTATGTGTGAAAGCTGCACATTTTATATTTAAATCTGGTAGAAAGTCTGTTCCCACTGCATTTCAGTTTAAAACATGTTTTCATACTGATTTTACCCACCTTCACATTTTCTTGGCCTTTGCAATCTTGAGAACTGATAGGTAAGACAGAAGTAAATGAAACAAGGAAGGTTTGATAATTGTATGATGGTACACAGTTTCCAAAGTATAACATCTTACAGTGAAACACTTATATTCTGTATGATCTATTCTTTTTTCATTAGTCTGATTAGACAGTTGGCTGTGAAAATGCTGGCAAGAGAAATAGAGGTTTCTGTTAATTGTACAGGTAGTCCTCAAATTACGACCATTTGTTCAGTGACCATTCAAAGTTATGACAGTGCTAAACGAAGAGACTTATGAACGGTCCTCAAAGTTCCAGCCATTGCAGCACCCCCGCTGTCACATGAACAAAATTTGGTTGCCTGGCAACCAGCTTGCACTTATGACCAGTTGTAGCATCCCGCGGTCATTTGCACCCTTCCCTGCCAGCTTCCCCCAGGCAAAATCAATAGGAAACCAGCAAGGAAGGTTGCAAGTCACTGGGGTAAGACTCCTCCCACCTTTCTTCACTTGCATGCACTGTGCCCTCCTTCCCCCCTTTGTTTGCACACACCCTGTGCTCTCTTTCCCTGGCAATTGCACACACGCATGCATGTACCCCACACCCTGTTTCCATGGCCTCCCTGCGATGGCACACCCCCTGCACCCTTTTTCCATGGCCTCCCTGTGATCACACACATGCATGCATGTATGCTCATTTAGCAACTGCCTCATTTAGTGACTGTTCCATTACAGTGGTGATGAAAAAGTAACTTTACAAACAATCCTTGCATTTACAGCTTTCACAAGTCTGTAAAGCAAAGGAAAGCTGAAGTAAGATCATAAGCAGAGTCATGGTTTCACTTAGCAACTGCTTTGCTTAATGACCAAGTTGACAGTCCCAATTGTGGCTGCTAAACGAGGACTACCTGTATTAAGAAAACAGAGCATGAATACTAGTAACAGAAACCTAAAAGTCATGGTAACCACTGTTTGTTAAATTTTGAGAAGGTTAGAAGACTCAGTGAAAAATGGGAGTAGATGAGCAAGATTAAAAAGTAGATGAACAGAAGTCAAAAGAATCATGGAAAAAATGGCAAAGATCCATCTTTTATCATCTGATGCTCACCAGTTGCTGGTTGGTGAAGGTGTTGTAAAAAGTAGAAAGAAAACATTACCATCAGCAGCCATGTCAAACCATCAAAAATAGGGTATGATGTCGTCTCTTCCCTCTCTCTCTATGCCTTAATTTACAAATCTGTCCAGGTTAATTTTTAGAATTCAGAACTTAAAGTGTTGAATAAAAGAAATTGTGTGTTCAGCAGAGATATTTTTGCAGTATTTCATGTGCCTGTGCATTTAGAACATAAACAATAAGTGATTTGATAACTTTGATAAGCATCAAAATTAACCTCTCAGAGGATTTTCCTTTGTATATGCTCTCCTGAAAGTTTGCATTGTTGATTCATGTGCAATGGCCTCCCATGCTTTCAGTCCACAGCGTGCCTACATGCTTCCTTTGCTACAATCTTTGGAAGAGAATGGAAAGCATGCAAATAAAATGAATAGCTTTCTTCTGCCATTAGAAATATTGTATTTTGGACCGAGCTTTATTAAATAAATCATTTCTTCTTTTTTAGTGCTTGACTTAGTCATGTATTTGAATGTTACCCCAGGCTCTATGAATAGCCAGTTGTTTTACCAAGGCTGGGTGGGGGAATGTGTCATTGGAAAGACCATACACCTGGTTTATTCTCATGAGAACCTTCCTTTCCTCTCCCTTGCACTGTTCAAATTAAACACATATTTCCAGTGATGGAAAATCAAACATTCTCTTTAACTGGGCCCCTTGATTCACATGACCATACTCTTATACTTACCATTACTCTGTTCTGATAGTTACCTAGTGTATTCTTACTGGGGTGAATGAAATTGCCCAAGATATAAATCCTCTCAGCAAAAAGTTTGAGTGCACCACAAATGAGACCACAGAGTACAATCTGAGGAAAGCAGAAAGAATGAGTCTGTTGACAGAAAGAGCAACTTGCAGCTATAAAACAAAGGTTTGATAGCCGTCTCATATAAAATCCATAGAAACTGGTGAGAATTTAACTGTTGATATATTTGGATCCTTCCTCTAGTTCTGCAGTGCTCCCTCATCATGGCATGAACGCCCCTGTTCTTGGGAGGGAAGAGTAAAGCAGGCCGGCAGGGTATACCAAGGATATATACTCTCGCAGGATCACCCAAGGCATGAAGGTCATCTCAGCTGCCCAGCTAAAGCAAGCAAGCCCTTATATTAGGCAGCTGTGACATAGAAAGATGCTGGAGGCAGATGATCACTTTAGTAACAATGACAAAGGCATCGTTTCATACTGTGTGTGAGAAGGCAATGGTAAACCTGTTTTTAGCAAGAAAGCCACACGCATAGACGAGATAAGTGATTGACAATATCGTGCTGGATGATGGGCCCCTTAGGTCAGATGGCACTCAACATGCTGCTGAGGAAGAACTGAGTTTTTCAGAGTATTAATGGTATTCGTGATTCAGTTAAATCAAAGCCTTTGGGAAGTCTAGTTGCCGATAATGCTGTGCAGGAAAAGAAAGTCCCAAACTGCAAAGACAGAATTAAAATAAGAACATAGAACATAAGAAGCTTGAACATGGGAAATACAGTGAAAGAGTAAATGAATTAACTATGCATTGACATCTTAGGCATCAGTGAATAGAAATGGACTGGAATTGGATA